GACTGTTGTTATGTGTCCTTGAGTTGCAAGGAACTCTGACCCCTTCAACAGGTTTTCAGAGGCTGTCAATCACAATGATTGTTCATTTTTCTTCTGTACTGCAGCTGAGTGATTTGAAGGACAAGGCTTTGGGCTGTGAGCTCAATTTTAATCACTAGGCCACCAGACACACACAACTTCGTCTGACATACTTTGGGCATGTTGCAAGGAGGGACTGGTCCTTGGAGAGGGACATCATGTTTGGCAGAGTGGAGGGGCGGCGAAGGAGCGAGACCTTTGATGAGATGGATCGATTCTGTGACTGGAGCGGTTGGGAATGTGTTTGAGATGGCTAGGTTGGCACAGGATAGAAAAGCATTTAGAGCTCTTGTACATAGGGTCGCTATAAGTCGCAAGCAACTCCATGGCACATAACAACAACAACAACAACAACCAGAGCTCCCTAAAATATTAAATACTTCTTTAAAAAAATCAGTTGCATCCGCAATTCTCAAGTACAACGTTTATATATTTGGCTTTCTCCTTTCAAAAAATTTGTTCTTACACTATTAGAAAGAAAACGAATAAGGACTAAAACATAGTGTACACAAAATTGAAAGGGTGGAGAAATTATAGACCAGTGATTATAAATATCCTTAATATTCCTTGTCTGTAAACTTTCCAAGGTTCCTTCCCAAAGTTATTTTTCCTATGGCTCTTAAAAACAAAACAAATCCCAAACAACTCACTTTTACTTAATATGCTTTAAAACAAAAATGCAACTTCTGATTAACAAACAAAATTAGCTTTCTCAATTTGGTGGAATCTAGCTAAGGAACAGAGTTGCTGCAGTTGATCCCAAAGTAGAAATGGTCATAGGTTTTCCAAACCTGTTCATCTTGACAGAAACTGCCACACCTCTGTCCTACGGAGTGGCTGGTGGATTGGAACCACTGATCTGTTAGTAGCCAGGGCTCCGAGAGTTGTTGTGTACTACAGAGTGGCAACCGACCTATAGCTGACCCTCTGGCGGCTGTTAATTGCACAGGAGAGGAGGAGACTGTCGTCGTCC